AGAAATGATCCTCTTTTTTTTTTTTTTTTTTCTTTCGCCTCCCCTGGCTCAATTGAGCCTTCTTAACCGCAAATGCCCGGGCACCGCCTTTCGCATCGGAAACGCGCAAGCTCAATTTCGTCCCTTGAATAGCGATACTTAGGGGATTACTTCGCGAAAACGTGTAATGCCGGCCCGGGGATTTCTCATGAGGATTCTCAAGTATCAAAAGGATTCCTAGAGAATCGCAGAAACTCGAATGCGATATTGGGGTCCCCCGGACTTTATCTACATGTGTATATCTTAATCCCCGGTCGCGGCGAGTTCCACGTTGAATGGCACTTGTGGACCGTGCTTAATTCGGCACTGTGACCCTAATTTAAGTCGTCCGGACTTCTGAGAGAAAGAGAACGTTGGAGTAAGAAGGAAAGGAGAGGACCGTCGTCGTTCGCTCGTTGAGCGAAACTAGCTGAACGCGAATCAAACGTACTATATATATATATATATATATGTATATACGCAGATTCTCGTGTCTCTTCGAATATCTCCGAAACCGCTAAATGAAAAACTACGACGAATCGGCGGAGAGCGACCATCACGTAACACCTTGAAATCCAGTTTCCCGCTTGCGCACACTCCGAAGAACGAGAAATGTGAAACGCGCGTCGTCACCTCTCGGTCGCCAGCTCGGGTCGACAGCCGTGCGTGCGTCTTGTAAATTTTTTAAAGGGTCCCATTGGCTATTTGCACGACCGCAGTGCCCCTCCGTGCCACAAAGAGCTCTTTTATGTCCCTGAGGCTCGACTCTTATTTCGCGAAAATTGCCAACCGAGTGAGAGAAGAAAGAGGAACGACGGATATTGGCACGAAGAATAAAAGAAAGAGAAAAAGAGAGGGCGTGTATGTATGTATGTGTGTGTGTGTGTTTCATTAACTTCAAGTTTCTTTCGCACAATAAATATTTCCAAGTCACGAAGATTGTCAAAAAACATTCGATCAAACGTATATAATAATTAAATCTCGCACCGAGATTGCGCTCGGTAAGTAATATAATTTTCTCAGCTAACTTCGTGCCGGGAGATAATTAACGATCGAACGTACATTACAGTCGAAATTATATTAAAGCCACTATCGGATCAGGTATACGTCGTTGTTGCGGGATTTCGCAATGAGAGACGCCGGGGATTGGCGTGCGCCGCGATGTCGTAATCGTTTGTCGAATGTGCAATGAGACGGAAAATCCGACGAGTTTAATAAGGTTCCCGTTAGAAGAGAAAGGGTTGCTCTCTCGACAGCCAAGTTCTCTCTCTCTCTCTATCTCTCTCTGTCTTTCTCTTTCTCTCGGGGAGAAAAGTCAAACCTAGACGGGGTATTCGACACAGTCGCGAAAACCGGCACGAAAGAACGACGATAGGCCTCGCCCGCTTTCTTCTCTTTTACTGTTTCTTGACCCGCCGTAAAACGCAACAAGAATTTAGGTGTATTCGCGTTTCGCGTTTAAATAAAAAATGATCGTCGACACCGCGCGACAATTCTTTGCTCCGTGTAATTATCGTTCGGTTAATCGTTATTATTTTTATATCGAGCCGTTTGTGATAGTTACCGATATAGGTTACCGATATAGGTTTAAGTTGGTGAGTCGTGCTCGCGATAATCGTTGAAATATCGTTTACGTTGACAAGTCGTGCGATTAGATACAGGTTTATCACAAATGCCGGGTTTGTCATTTCCAACTTCCATCCGACCTGTACATTGAACAATGATCTATTTCTGCAGGCGCAAATTCAGCGCGTCATCGTCATTTTCGGCGCTGCGTAATGCGCAGTCAAGCCGGAAGAGCCTTACTTGGTTTTAGAGGGTGTAGTCAGCGTCCAAAAATTGCGTTCTATATATTAGGTCTACCGGAAAGTTCTGTCCGTTTTTGGAATAAAACAAAATACAAATTTTTCTTACCGTCAATAAACTTTATTTAATAATATAATTGCCATTGTTATTAATAATTTCTTGCCAGCGTGAGGGCAATTTGTATATCTCATTTTTAAAAAATTAAGAAAAATTTGTATTTTGTTTTATTCCAAAAACGTACAGAACTTTCCGGTAGACCTAATAGATACACACTCATGTGTCATGAGACTACGGGGATCTGATTAAAAATTTTCGATTCTCGACGCGCGCAATGTAACGCCAAATCATCTCATTGTATGTTTTTTTTTTTGATGCATTAGAAAGACCGTTTTTCGCGAGAACTCGATAGACAGTTTTTTTGTTTTTACATTCCCGGATGAATCGGACGGATGGCCACGTAAAAGTATCCCGTTACCGCGGTAGCCCAGATACCGGATTACGGAGCACGAATTGTCAATTGCATGCGAACGAGACGGGCTTCTAAAAGGCCTTTCAAAGTTCGTGGCGAGGCGTGTGTGTGCGTGTATATGTGTGTGTGTGTGTGAACGAGAGCCTCACTGTCTGCGATATATTTGCTCATTCCATTCGGAAACAGTAGAAACTCGAAGCCTAAGAATTCTGGAAGAAACAGGTAATGTGAGACGGTTTTACTAGGTGTAGAAAAAAAAAAAGAAGCTTTAAGGTATTTCCCTCGATTGTTTTCTAATTTTCAGTTTTACTTCAAACTTTTACACAATGTTTAAAAACTTGATCTACGAACCCATGAATTTTTTCAGATTTTTTTATCGTACAGTTTTTGAGAAAATCAAAAACGAATTTCGCATGATTTAACATGGAAGTAGATAGGGAGAATGAGGAAAATCACGTGCATTCGCCTAAATATCTAGAGTTCAAATGTTCAGATTTGGCTAAAAATATTACTACAGCTTCTTTAAACTATAAAGAAAATATGTGTGAAAAATCAGACGCCTGTGCCGTACAGTTTTTCGGTTATAATTAAAATAACACAGAAAACGAGCGATTTTATGATCGGTATGAGAAAGAACGACGTTGCCATTTCCTCAATTGGAGTGAGATAAAACTATCTTCGCTCCCCCGCGCCCGCAGGGACGTGAGGGTGCTGTCGTTCAAAAACTAGTTGAGATCCACCCTTGAAATTTTAGTATGTTATTCTTGGAGCTATAGACTATCAAAAAGTGCAAAAAAATCGATTTTTTAAAAGTTTCACACTAGTTGTGCCCCTTAATGGAAAGGAAATGAAACAATTTAGATAATTCGTTTGCGTTTAGAAGAAACACACGGTGAAATAGAAGCTTTTGTAGCTTCCGTTAAAAACAAATCGCGAGTCGAACTTGTGAAGGTGCATTTAACAAGAGATATCTAATTGTGAGCACATTTATACGCGGCTCGTTTTTCATCGAAAAACGTTTTCATTTACTCACATCGGATCGGCACGTACCGTTATCGCAACACGCCGCGGTCCCATTAACATAATTGTTAACGGAGGCCACAAGGCGCGTCGACTTGGCTGATCGGCATAATAGGGTAAACAAGCTGGCGCTTCGAAGCCACTTAATCTACAATTGCAGCGTTCGCCTGGGGTTACATTTTACGAAGGATTTTTCGCGTGACGCTCGCGTCCGCGACGACGACGGATATTTTTAATCATGTTTTTTTTTTTTTTTTTCATTTGAACAAATTAATTTTGCGCAATTTTGCATCAACTTCAACTCGCGCTCTCTGAGAGAGGAAAAGAGAAAAAGAGAGAGAGAGAGAGAGAGAGAGACCATTAATCAATGAAACGGACGGCCGGGCGAATTCCTGTGCCTGGGCAAAGGAGATATCAGTGAGATCGATAATAGAGTCCGCTACTAGAAAGCGAGAGAACCGGAGCCCGGATTTCAGGGAACGTACCAACTTGAAACGCTTGTTGCCGATAAGGCGGCTTGCTTGTTATTGTAACAACACGCTCAAATGAATCATAATACCGATAATAGCGTAACGCCGGCACACCGAGATCGAAGATTCCGAGACGAGTATAGTTGGAGTTTTGCTCCTCTCTCGTGATCTCACATCTCTGTTTATAGAATGTAATTCACTAACCTGTCACAACGAAAATAAATAAATTTTTTTTTGCGATCTTTTTTCGCTGCTCGTTTATTAAAAGCGAGAAATCTCGATAATTTGCAAACACAAATGAATCGAGAGAATTCGCATGCTCCGTGTTTCGGAGAACGGATTTATTGACGAATATGTATTCGATCGCAATCAGTAATGTCAACCACCGAATTGGAAATTAATTGATAGTGGAAAGTTTTTCAACGTGTTGATTTTGTGTGGCAAAGTAGTTTTTTTTTTTTTTTTTGTTTTGTGAAATCGAGACATGTGTGTTTATCTATTCATAATCATTAAGATGTTCCACTTTAATGAGAACATTTGTGCATAGCTGTAAAGAGATTTACTTTTTAAGCGCTTAATTATCAAAGTAATTAACCTATTTGACACGCTATCGGCGTCGTATAATATGAATCGCAGTCTCTTTGATTAAGATTATAATTTTTATTTTTATTAAATTCAAAGTTACTAAACTTTCTGTCTTCACTTTCAGATTTTTTCATTTGTTTTTTAAATATTATTTAATTAATAACAATTCTACGTGTTTTATGTTGCAGCTTCGTGCTTTTTGTACATCTCGGTTTGTTTTTAATACTTTTTATACTTAAATTTATATTAACCAATTTCATTCACATTAATAAAAACAGTAATTAAAAAATTTAATTATATTAAAATACTAAACAAAATGCTATCAACATATAATTTTAATTATAATAAAAAATTACCCAATTAAATATATAATTCAATTATAAAAAAAATTCTTTTCACTGAAGAAAAATTATCTTATTGTAAATAAGATATTTTTTTACTCAACTAGAATTATTTTATTAAATAACATAATTATTATCCACATTTTAGGATCTTATTGTTAGTATCTTATTTCATATACGCGTGTATAATTGCTGTTACCCCTTTTTATTTTTCTTTTTTTATTTACGTAAAATATCTAAAGATAGCAAAATCATGCAAAGATGCAGAAGAGGATGGGGGATAGATCCTACCTCTAATTTTGGTCTCCTGCGGATCCAGAGGTGGTAACCGTGGGTGCGTCTGCTGTCCCGGTTTCTTGAGTAAAACGCCTACAACTTGTGGCGGTGGCATCATCATACTTGGATTCTCTTCCGAGCAGTTTGTCTCACTGTCGGAATATATATCTCAATTTGCGTTGCTTGTCATGTCGATCGAGAGCTCTCCCATCAATCCTCGATTTGAGCGTCTTCTTTCGATTCCCCAAATTTGTAAACAACCTGACCATTAACTGTCGTTTGAAACTCGCGCGAAATCTTATCAAAAAACAGCACTCGCCGATGATTGTTTTTTTTTTCTTCTTTGTCCGATAAAAACCTGGACAAGTTGTTGCGGAAAAGGAGAGATCGAGAGAAGACACCGGCTGGGACCTCCTTTCTCACTAGCGCGATGCTCCTTCTGCGTGCGCCGCCTCGTTATCGTCCGCTCGCTCTCGCTCGCCGTCCGTCCTCCTTGTTGATCGTCGTCCGGTGGTATTTTTTTTTTTTTTTTTTTTTTTTAATTCGATCGGCGCGCGAACGTGACCCTGCGCGTTTCCGACGCGCCGAGAAGGACGCGAGCTCCGATTTGCGAGCTATTATCGCCGAGAGCACTACTCGTCGCGCGATCTTTGCGAGCCATTCGCCGACGAGTTCACCAACAACAAGTTCATCAGACGAAATGCCAATCAACTCTTCTCGGACTCAGGCTTGTCGGCGATCTGCGAGAATCTGCGAGCCCACAATCGGATCGACGAATCTGTCGCTTCGATCTGCCGTCATCTTAACACAAGTTTGCGTCTTTGTTTCTTTTTCTTTTTTTCGTATACGCAAAGAAAAACACAAACAAATTAACGAGCAGAGAGAAACGCGATCCAACCAATAGCGATTCCGGAATTAATTGTGTCACCTGTTACGGCTATCCGAGAGATCTGCCTCGATTCGCCTCGAACGAATCTTCGGCTCGACACTTGAGCACGTTTTCTCGAGGACGCGCGACGACGCCGGCTGGACGCTTACGCCGTAACCTGTCGGTTTATCACGACGCGATAGATAAGACTGGTATCTTAGGTACCGAGATATCTTGCGATGCCACGAGAGCAGTTTCTTGAACGCGACTTTCGAGTCAAATGCGCGCGTCGCAGTTCGTTCCGCGTGCACAGACGACTCTTCTCGCTTTTTCCTAGACGATATTATATCTCGAGATCACAAACGCGACGCGAATGTCACCGCGTAACTCTTTTGATTTTTTTTTTTTTTTTTAGTAACAAATTAGTTTTACCGCAAGAATTAACAACGTGGAGAAGAAAGCGAATCGGTCGAAACAAATTTTTTGTTTCTATACTCGATAATGATCGTTTTCACATCACAATTTTAAATTTTGTTCACGACTTCGATATATCGCTCACAATTTGGCACGCGACACGAAACAAAAACTTTTTGCGAGGAGGACTTTTTTTCACACTTCTGACAGTTAACGCTCCGATTTATATAGAAACGAAAATCTCTCTCGCAACCTCGGAGTATCGGAATGTTATCACCGTGTGTCTCGTTTGTGTTACGTCTCGAAGAGATTCTTATTACCAACTCGGTAAGAATGTGTTGGAATCGTGCACGCGCACCAACTGCAGAGCCGATCAACAAAACACTATAGTTACGTGATAACTTGACGCGCGCGCAGCGAACGACTGATCGTAGAACGGACACGGCCAAGCCAACACGAGAACGCATCGTCTCTAACCCTACCCCCTGTCGATCCCCACCATTCAACCATCTGCGTCGACTTTCTTTTTCTTTCCCCCGAATCGGAGTGAGGGAGAGAGGAAGAGAGGCGTACACACAACCCTTGTGAAACTTTAATCGCGTGTTTGCGCTCACAACCCTCTCACAGCGATGCTCTATTTTTATTTAGTTCCAACTACTACAAATGCCGAGACTGAAAACAATATATCGGTGATTTTGTATGTAAAATTGTATGAAATTTAAAAAAAAAAAAAAAAAACGAATTTAAAATTCACATTTTTCAGGTTTAAGGTCGCGCAAACAACCTTGTCTCGTGTTGCGCGCGCGCCTAAGATTTTTCTTGTCTTATATATATACAGCGAGAAATCTTTTTTATCACCGACAATATATCTTTCGCGCGTGAACGTTTTCCTCGCATTTAGATAACATTTAATCTGTCTGTCCTCGCAAAGATGGCGGTACACTTGAGACAACTCCCGTGAAGTTATAATCTCTCGTCGTTTCTCTTTATTTATAAAGCTGTATTTATAAACACATACACAACACCGCCTGTGAAAAGCCTCTGCTGCCGCTGATAAATACCAAGTATAGTGGAAGAAGTATACAAATTGTAAAATTCTTTGAACTGTCGTAATTATTTTGATAGATAAAAGAGAGAGAGCGCGGTTGTTTGTCTGAGTGATATTGAAGCTTTAGCAAAATGTTGTTGCTATTAATAGATCCCCTTTTCCGTTTCGACATTGCTGTAATGTTTCTTGCAATATGCCGCGCAAGCGATAGCGCGCGCGCGCCTTTCCACCGACAAAAAAAGAAGGATACGGAAACTGATTTTTTTTCTCTCTATTTTTTTTTTTTTTACCCCCGCAACCCGGGGGATACAGGAACTCTCGATCTCGATCTGAATGACGCGCGAAGGTTTTCAAGACCGTCGATCTATGACGATAGGAGTCGCGAATTAAAAAACGCGGTGACACACTTTCACCGTTAAGTGCAGCCGCTACTATACTATGTGCAATGTATAACGACTCGCCATTCAGCTTCTGTCTGCAAGCGATACGGAGCGCGAACGACGACGTCGCAAAAATCTCACGTAATTGTCGCGATCGCGAGCAAAATCGAGAAGCTTGTCTGGCGAAGAAGGATATCGGCGTTTAAATGCTGACGAAAAGTCACGTCGTGGCGTGGCGCAAAAGCCGTCGGCGCAATTCGCGTGACTCAGCTCGGTTCTCCCCTTCGGTCGAGCGGCGCTCGATCTTTTTTTTGTTTTTTTTTTTTTGTTTTTTTTTTATTTCCTCGAAAATATATTTGGCGCAACGGAACTGCAACGCGAGCAATTTCGCGTGTGGCGCGGCCGCACGGAAACCGTAATGCACACACACTGCCAACGGCACGTCACGTTGCAGCAAAAGTGTACAAAGTAGTCGTATATTATCGTCGACCGCATATGGGAGTGCGGTCCCAAGAGGGATTTTATCGTGTCGTCGGGGGGTCGGAACACACCATAAAACACTTCGGTAAGTATCACGGAGACTGCGCAACAACGCGCGCGACCAATAACGGCGGCGACGTATTAGCGGACGTTTCGCGATGGGACTCGGAAATCGGAATCCGGGATCCGGATAAGAAAACTTTTTTTTTTTTTTATAGAAAAGGGATACACCATGTACATACGCGCACAGGGGAGCGACGAAGAAATGGGGCGGAACGATTCTGAATCCGTGAGACCCCGATTGAATATTGCGACTCGTTTAAAGAGACCGATCTTCCAGACGATTTTTTTTTTTTTGAACAGTTTGTACAAATCAAATTGAACAGTATGATATATACGTGCTTTTGCAAAAAAACATTTGCAACAGATATATAAAAAACGTGATATCAAACACGGAATGTATATATAAAAACTCTCTTCCAACTTAAAAAAAAAAAAATTCGAGTGAAAAAAACTTTTATACAATTCTAAAGAAAAATTCGAGTTTTCTGTATATGAATTAAAAATCGGGTTTTTTGTTTTTGTGTAGGTACTTTTTCCATTCATTGCGAGAACACAGCAGATCTGGTTTATTGATCGCCCAAGGTTCGTTCGGGAAACTAAATCGCGCGCTGACGAGACAGATAGCGTATGGTCGATTGCGTCTCGGGAACGAGACATAATTGCGCGACGCACCGATCCATATCGAGACATGAATATATCGTGCAATGCTATATGTAGATATATTCCCAATGTCAACGCGCGCGCTCACGCGACTCTGCAGCGATGTCAATATTCTGCGCGCGTTCTGTTGCGCGGACAAAGAATCGCGTCCGTCGCGAATTTTATTCGGCAGCTAGAATCGCGAACTCGCATCGTTGCACACGAACGAATAATAAAGCGAAAAAATATTTTTATCTTTCTCGCGCAGCGCGCGCGCGCGTCAAAAAATGCGGTCGTCTCGAGCGTACCCCATCGTCAAAGCGAGGGAACGGTAAAACGAAATGAGGAGAGAGAAGCTCCAAAAATATCCAATTCCTTGGTTACCGACTCATGAACGACCCGCTGGTCCGATTTCTCAAAAATAAAAAAAAAAACGATTTCTCTCGCGTCTTGAAATAAAATTCGCTCGTGCGACTGCACGTGGATGCAAACTCGTTTCGAAATATCACGGCGACGTGATACGTTTTGGACGTAAAGTGAAGAAGTTTAGCGACTGCGATCGCGGTTTTACATCCCCGGGCTTTCTCTTAAAATGTCGGATTTAAAATTCCGCAGATTTGAAAAAAGTTACGAGCCGCGAATCGACCGCGTTCGCCTGTAAAATCGCGGCGTGATTAAGCAACGATGACTTTAAGTAAATTGCCGGTTATTTCGGTTATTTGAAAGAGAAAAAGGAAAAAGAGAGAGAAAGAAAGAAAGAAACAAAGAGAGAGAGAGAGGAAGAGAAAGAGGGAAGGTACTTTGATGGGAGTAAGAGACGTAATTAATTTTCTCCACCTTGTGCTTTTGTAATCCTTCTATAAGTCTTGGAAACTCACGGGACCAAGCCCTGAGTCACAAGTGCATTCAAACGTGCGTGAGTGTGTGTGTGTGTGTGTGTGTGTGTGCATGTGTGCGCGCGCGACGTTAGTCACGGTGTCACTTAATTAAAATTGCTCGTTGAGCGTCAGCCGTCGCGAATCGAAAAGCAGCGTGTGCCTCGTACGAGAGATGCAAAGAAATAAATTAATCTTCGCCTGCGTTCTTCTTAACGTCGCCTTTTAGGGAGCTGCGGTCGGTATCCTTAAAAAACAAAACAAAAAAAAAATAAAGAAAAAACGACAACAATTTTTCTGTCGAACAAAACTAATAATCTCCATGAGATATACGAACACAAATATACCTTATTGTCCTTTAATTGTTATCTCGACTTTTGTCATACAAAGCTATTGTGAATCATCGATTGAAATTACATTCCGACGCATTCATAGCCGATAGTAGAGCCAACGCGCGATATATATATTGATAAGAATGGTTTCGGTCGAAGCTCGCTTAGCGCACCGAGCATGCGATATGCCCACATGCACAACTTTTACTTTCACTTTTAAGGAAACGTATGTACCTCTCTCGTTACGGCACGCTAATTTTACGAGTCAATTATATCATGCTATGATAAATTGTTTCGAAATCGCCTTAAAACACGAAGTGTAAAGCGAATCGTCGACCTCGCTTTTGTCTCTCTCATCGGTATATTTCAAAGATTATTTTGAAAACAAAAAAAAAGACAAGATTGTCAATCAAATGTCCGCTTTCTCTACGTCAAGTTTTTTTTTACTTACAATCGAGTTTTCGCAATCACTACTTTGAAAGAAAAAAGATAAATGAATGCAACTTGTTTTTTATAATCCGCACGTTGTACGACTCGCGGAGAGTCTCATCCTGAAAACTGGAATTCATAAATGTCTCTTCGTATTTCTTGTATGATCCAAATTTAGACGAGCGCTTATAGGCCTCGTCTGTGCATTTGTTAAGCGGCTGTTGCGACTTTTCTATGCGAGTCGCAATCTGCGCGTGTAAACACATACAAGTTAAAAACAGGATTGTATCTTTTTATCATAGCTAAATCTTATCTTAAAAAAAATCTTATCTTAAAAAAAAACTCTATTGGTATTTTACACGAGAAACATAAATTTTGTATTATATATTAAAATCATAAAACTACATGTTTTGAAAACATATTTCGATAAAAACACGTGTCCTATATTAAAAAAGGCAAAAGCGATTTTGAAACAGAGTTTGTCGTATATGTAAAAAAAATTAAAAACGTAACTAAAGTCACGTGACAGGAAAAAGTAGAAAAACAACACGTGATTATTTAAAGTAACGTGATTGTACGTTATATTATATATAACATTAAATACTATATATTCTACATATAATTTATTGAAGATTTTAAGATTTTATATTTACAAAAAAGATTTTACCTTATAAAAGATAAATTTATCTGAAAGTAGATGTTTTTATCTTAAAAAGAGTTGACTTTATCTTAAATAAGATAATTTTATCTTATAAAAAATAATTTTCTCTTTTAAAAGATAATTTTGCCTTAACTATAATGATTTTATCTTATACAAAATGATTTAATCTTAAATAAGATGATTTTATCTTATTTTTAAGACTTCAGTCGCGTGACCGCGGCGGGGTCACTGACCTTGGCCGCGCGGCCTTGGTGGGGGGACGGTCACTGACCCCGGCCGCGCGGCCTTGAGCGGTCACTGACCCCGGCCACGCGGCCTTGGTGGGGGGACGGTCACTGACCCCGGCCGCGCGGCCTTGAGCGGTCACTGACCCCGGCCGCGCGGCCTTGAGCGGTCACTGACCCCGGCCACGCGGCCTTGGTGGGGGGACGGTCACTGACCTCGGCCGCGCGACCTTGGCGGAGTCGCTGACTTTAGTGATTACGGTATATATATGTGTGTGTGTGTGTGTGTGTGTGTGTGT